CTGGTTACTCATCAACGTTCGATCCCTTGAAGTCGGAGTACATCTGCCGGTGAGGCAGGGAACAGCAAACAAATAAGCTAGTAAAACGGATGTACACTCAAAACTCAGGTCCAGGTAAAAGCCAAAAGTCCAAATGGACGAACTACCGGGACCTTCCGCCGGAATTCACAGCCTGCGAAAGACGAAGAAGAAGAATCAACGTTTGTTACAGGATTTTGTTTACAGGTCCTTGCTTCCTCTGTCTTTTATTTCCCATTTCATTACCTGCCTAATGGTTCTCTGAATAAAAAAGAAATCTCCTAACAGCTCATTTATCTTCTCTCCTTTTACTTTTATTATTCACTTCCTAATTTGCATTATTTAAAGAAAATCCATTCTAACTTTATGTTCATTGTTTGTGTGATCGGCTTACCAAAGTTAATGTACTTGAATAAGATTCACACACAGATAACAGCTAAGGTATATACATAATTAACAATATTCTGTCATCTGTTTTCCTTGTTTCTCTCATTAACCCCTTATTTACTTACATTAGTTCTGAGAAAATCCATTCATACTTTTATTTCCATTGCTTTGTTCCCATTTAGAATCACACTCACATATATTTTTGATGAAATCTTGTAAACAGCACCTAGAACTGACATAATTAACGTTGCGTAACTGTTTATGTAATCGTTTATCTGTTTCTTCCTGTTTGCTGACTTTTGATGCGCAGAAACTACACATACGACATAATTTTTTGTAAGAATAATTCAGGCACGTTCTTCTTCTTCTTGTTCTCCTTCGTGTTGTTGTTGTTGTTGTTGTTGTTGTTGTTGTTGTTGTTGTTGTTGTTGTTGTTGTTGTTGTTGTTGTTGTTGTTGTTGTTCTTCTTCTTCTTCTTCTTCTTCTTCTTCTTCTTCTTCTTCTTCTTCTTCTTCTTCTTCTTCTTCTTCTTCTTCTTCTTCTTCTTCTTCTTCTTCTTCTTCTTCTTCTTCTTCTTCTTCTTCTTCTTCTTCTTCTTCTTCTTCTTCTTCTTCTTCTTCTTCTTCTTCTTCTTCTTCTTCTTCTTCTTCTTCTTCTTCTTCTTCTTCTTCTTCTTCTTCTTCTTCTTCTTCCTTTTTCTTCTTCTTCTTCTTCTTCTTCTTCTTCTTCTTCTTCTTCTTCTTCTTCTTCTTCTTCTTCTTCTTCTTCTTCTTCTTCTTCTTCTTCTTCTTCTTCTTCTTCTTCTTCTTCTTCTTCTTCTTCTTCTTCTCCGTCTTCTGCTTCTCCTCCTCCGCCTGGTCTTTAATTTTTCGTCCTTCGCCTCTCGCCCTTTAAGAAAAGATATAAAACCGAACGAAAAGTATATTAGCAAGCTTCACAATATAACAAATAACACACAAAACGTGAACGTTCGGCTTTACAGATCCTATGTCGTGAAATCTCTAATCAATCGCCTGCCTTGACATGTTTGTTTAAGAACAATGGATCCATTATCCTCCCCCCCCCCCCCACCCAAATCACCCCCAACAAATGATGCCTCGGAACCCACACACGGGCTTCTGCATCGATCCACAAACCTCCCCAAAGCAACTGAAGCTGCAAGTACTGTATTTGGTATTGCCCATCCACAAAATGGGCACCCATAAAGCATTTGCATCACACGGACGTTTTTCTAATGTAATTTGACCGTAATACACTTCCCCGCGGCTTCTGGAAATCTGTCGCGGGATTAACGAGCTATCCGAGGCCTACTCGAGGGACAGTTTGGAGACGGAGGATGGCGGTTTTCCATTCTGGCTAAGGTTGTGGAGGTCATTCTATGTCAGCAGTGCTACATCATGATCTTCCTTCGATGTAGCAGCCATTTCCCTTTTTTTTAGGGGTGTTTATGACTGCACTAAAGACATTTTGGGGAATGTTTTTCTAAGAGAGAGAGAAAAAAAAAGGTGGACATATGTTGCTTCAAATGTGTGTGTTGGTTCAGAGTTTCCATTGCGGATAGAGAAAGCATGAATAGACTCACTGCCGCCTATCAAACATGTCGTGAAAGTCTACTAATTATGGGTGTTTCCTTCACGTCTTCGAGTAGGTTTGATGAGAGGTGAGATGCACGCATACAAACAACAAATATCTGTAAAACTGGTGTGCTCGCAAAACTCAGGTTCTAAGAAATATCTAAAGACCAGAAGTGGTTGAACTACCAAAACTTTCCGCTGGAGCTTACAGCCGTTGAACGCGAAGAAGAATAAGAATGCATATGTAGAGATGATATGGCTGAAAAACAAAACAGAAACGTAGAAAACGTCGTCAGGAAGGAAGTTGACATACGTCATCATAGACAAGTGTGCAGCAGTTTACGATTGCTGTAGAGTGAAAGTGAGGAATGTGTTTAGTTAGGAAAAGGTAAATATATATTATTCCAAACCTACATGTTTGTGTGTAGATATTTTTTTTTCTGCCTCCGACGGCTGCTACGTTGTGTTGAGGTTTACAGCTAGGCTGCAACATCTGCTCCTTTCGGCCCCACACATCCGATTTAAGCAAGCTTCTCCTATTAGTCGTCTTCGACACTATATTTGTTAGAGAACAATGTATGTCTCTGACATACCACCCCCTCTCCCCACCCCCTTTCCCCCACCCCCTTTCCCCCACCCCACATATAGGAGCCTTTAGATCTTACCCGAAAAGTAGGTATTTATGATTAAAATGGAGAGATGGTTGAGAATGCCTTCACGTTAATGTCCCCATGTGTCGTCACAAACGCTGTGTGTCGATGCACATGATTGCAATGGAGAGATGGTTGAGAATGTCTTCAAGTAATATCCCCATTTGTCGTCACAAACGCTCTGTGTCCATCGATGCACATGATTGCAATGGAGAGATGGTTGAGAATGTCTTCACGGTAATGTCCCCATGTGTCGTCACAAACGCTGTGTCGATCGATGCACATGATTGCAATGGAGAGATGGTTGAGAATGCCTTCAAGTAATGTCCCCATGTGTCGTCACAAACGCTCTGTGTCCATCGATGCACATGATTGCAATGGAGAGATGGTTGAGAATGTCTTCACGGTAATGTCCCCATGTGTCGTCACAAACGCTGTGTGTCCATCGATGCACATGATTGCAATGGAGAGATGGTTGAGAATGCCTTCACGTTAATGTCCCCATGTGTCGTCACAAACGCTGTGTGTCGATGCATATGATTGCAATGGAGAGATGGTTGAGAATGTCTTCAAGTAATGTCCCCATGTGTCGTCACAAACGCTGTGTGTCGATTCACGACCGGCTCCAGCTGACGGGCCGTGCTGCTGACGTCATCGGGTAGGGCTAACAACGCATTAACGCAGCGGTTCTAAAACAAGGAATAAACTTTTCTCGACAGTGGAGGGGCAAGACAACTTAAATTTTAACTTTTAAGTATCTACAGGCCTTCTTTAATAATTTCACAATTTTTAGCCGACTTTTCTTGATTATTGCCGCGGCACCCCTGACATACGCTCACTGCACCCCAGGGTGCCTCGGCTCCCAGTTTGAGAACTGCTGCGTTAACGCATTATTAGCCCGACCCGGTGACGTCAGCAGCACGGCCCGTCAGCTAGAGCTGGTCGTGGTCGATTCATATGATTGCAATGGAGAGATAGTGCGAGATGTCTAGAGGAAAAGTCAGACATGTGTAAACAATTTATATCTGTTTACAATTCTTTAAAAAATAAAATGATTTTCGTTTCAGAAAACAACAGTAAAGTGAATTTAGTTACCACATTTGGTCGTTTCTCAGCAACATTACTTAAGCACATAACATGTAACATAACTTAGGCATATTACATAAATCATTACCTAGGCATATCAAATAAAACATTACTTAGGCATATCATATAAAACATTACTTAGGTATATTACATAAAACATTACTTAGGCATATTAAATAAAACATTACTTAGGCATATCACATAAAAGATTACTTAGGCAAATCACATATAATGAGACTTCTTTTGCACATTACACTAGCATTACAGGCACAAGGGCGTACAAAATTCCTTGGGCACATTACATACAAGAGCATTACATAGGCATATCACATGTAACATTACTTAATAACATCACATACAACATAGCATCGGTACATCACATAACATTAGACTTGCATGTCACATACAACAATTCTTTGGCACGTTACACATGAACATTACTTAGGCACGTTACATACAAAATTTCCTAGACACGTTACATGCAACATTACTTAGACACGTTACATACAACATTACTTAGACACGTTACATACAACATTACTTAGGCACGTTACATACAACATTACTTAGACACGTTACATACAACATTACTTAGACACGTTACATACAACATTACTTAGTCACGTCACATACAATATTACTTAGTCACGTCACATACAACATTACTTAATCACGTCACATACAACATTACTTAGTCACGTCACATACAACATTACTTAATCACGTCACATACAACATTACTTAGTCACGTCAATACAACATTACTTAGTCACGTCACATACAACATTACTTAGTCACGTCACATACAACATTACTTAGTCATGTCACATACAACATTACTTAGTCACGTCACATACAACATTACTTAGTCACGTCACATACAACATTACTTAGTCACGTCACATACAACATTACTTAGTCATGTCACATACAACAGTACTTAGTCACGTCACATACAACATTACTTAGTCACGTCACATACAACATTACTTAGTCACGTTACATACAACACTACTTAGTCACGTTACATACAACATTACTTAGTCACGTTACATACAACATTACTTAGTCATGTCACATACAACATTACTTAATCACGTCACATACAACATTACTTAGTCACGTTACATACAACATTACTTAGACACGTCACATACAACATTACTTAGTCATGTCACATACAACATTAATTAGTCATGTCACATACAACATTAATAAGGCACATTAGAACCAGAAAGCTGCCAACCCGTGGGTCAGGGATTTTATTCCGTTCTTTTTATTTCAGACCAGATAAGCGTGGAGCTGTTGAAAGAGAAAGAGCGACGAATTGAGCTGGAAAAAGCCATGCAGGAAGAGAGGAAAAAGCGAGGTAGGGTACTGTTAAGATCATGCTTCCTCAACACTTCTTCTTCTTCTTCTTCTTCTTCTTCTTCTTCTTCTTCTTCTTCTTCTTCTTCTTCTTCTTCTTCTTCTTCTTCTTCTTCTTCTTCTTCTTCTTCTTCTTCTTCTTCTTCTTCTTCTTCTTTTTTCTTCTTCTTCTTCTTCTTCTTCTTCTTCTTCTTCTTCTTCTTCTTCTTCTTCTTCTTCTTCTTCTTCTTCTTCTTCTTCTTCTTCTTCTTCTTCTTCTTCTTCTTCTTCTTCTTCTTCTTCTTCTTCTTCTTCTTCTTCTTCTTCTTCTTCTTTTTCTTCTTCTTTTTCTTCTTTTTCTTCTTCTTGTTCTTCTTCTTCTTCTTCTTCTTCTTCTTCTTCTTCTTCTTCTTCTTCTTCTTCTTCTTCTTCTTCTTCTTCTTCTTCTTCTTCTTCTTCTTCTTCTTCTTCTTCTTCTTCTTCTTCTTCTTCTTCTTCTTCTTCTTCTTCTTCTTCTTCTTCTTCTTCTTCTTCTTCTTCTTCTTCTTCTTCTTCGTCTTATACACATCTGATTTTAGCATACTAAATTAATCACAGTTGACCGCATGCTTAGTAAGAGGCTGTGAGTCTACTTTGTTTGGGTACCCTAAACCAGGAGTCCCGGAACCAATACGAGGATTTGAACAGTTTGATTGGGGCGACTGCGCTACCAACGACCCCCAAACCCCTCTCCCCCTCCCTCTCTTTACACGGTCCTGAAAAAATTTATTATAATGAACTTTAACACGCAGTTTACATAAATTAAAAAAAGAAAACAACAGCAACAACTAATACGACAACTAATCACTCACATTTTTAATCCCTAACGTAGCCGTTCATAATAACATTTAATCATAATGCCCAAAATTATTTTATATATATAGCGATTGGAGCTTTGGATTACCTATTGCACCACACACCAAAACAAGCACCTCTGCCAATTAAGTGCGTCCCAGCGTGCAGTAGCTTTGTACCTCTGACAAAAAACAGTGAAATGAGGAACTAAAAACAGTGAAATGAGGAACTAAAAACAGTTGCCAGTATCTTCTAGTTCTCCAGATCAAACCGAAACGTCGTCTGAAGACATAATTTCATTAGCATATGGGAATGAAATAACAACGGGTGATTTTGTAATGCATAGCCTCGTTTTGAACTACAGGAAATGAGACGGGTATTTAATCGTGGATAATTTATTATTTACTTTGAAGGAAAAGCGTCCAATTTTCGGCAAAGTAACTTTTGACTTGCGATCATAAAAGGGAAAGAGTGATTAGAGGTTGGTGGAAGAATGTTGTAACATGGACGAGATTTCCAAACATTTAATGCGTGGGAGTTTGAAGATTGTGTTGTTCAAACAAACGTAATAACTCCTACATGGGAGGACGGAGCACGAATGGGTCAGGCCGAAGTGCCTGGGTGTAGATACGGACTATAACAAATATTCAAACATAAGAGGACGCAGACAATCACTAAATTGTTGTTTTATGTGTGTATGTATATAAGTTGTACCCCACCAGGAAATCCACTAAGCGATAAACACCCGGTAACACAAAGTGCAACCATGCGGATGAGGATCACCCGTGGAGAGGTCCCAGAAACCCCGTTCAGCCGTTAGGCCATATTTACGGCCCGGCTATATTTAGGGCCCCCGGTAAAAGCCAGGGTGGGGCTTCAAATAACGAAACATTGCATCCCTCAGGGGGACGGCTATATAATAAACATGTAATGTTGTTGCTGTGCGTGCTGTTGTTGTTGTGCGTGCTGTTGTTGTTGTGCGTGCTGTTGTTGTTGTGCGTGCTGTTGTTATATCACAGAGTCTGTGCTAACAGCCACTGGCATTCCAAAGATATCTATTTCCTATCTCTGAACTCATAGATGCAGATTTTACTGCTCTTCGATAGTGGCATTCTGTATGGCAGACCAACAAGACACAACCCCGATAGCTGGTTCAACCACAAAACGAGATATAATCAGGACCGGGGAAAAAACTGCACTCCAGAACCTAACGGCGCATTCCGTAAAACAGGGATTTATTGCAAAGGGAAACTGTTCTACTAGATAAATTCGCCCCGAAGTCGGATGTATCGCTAAAAAATATTGAAACCTTGCTGTAAACTACAGACCAATACAACATCACCATCATATAGCACGCCCTTTGTAAAAAATTGCTCGCAACACTGTTGACCTGATAGAAACTTGGTTACTCACCAGCTCTCCCGCCTTGTGTACTGTCATACCCGTGTTACTATATCCTGTGTCCATATATGTGCTGGTCGGCCCATGCCCCTTCCTTCCTGGTACCTTCAGCTATTTTTTCTTTCCAATCCTAGGTGGCTTGATAAGGCCACACTATTTCAGTTTCCGGGACCAGATGCTGTTTACCAGCCTGGTACCTTGAGCTATTTTTTCTTTCCACTCCTAGGTGGCTTGATAAGGCCACACTATTTCAGCTTTCGGGATATTCAGATCTTTTATGATGTCAGTATTTCTTTTCTTCTTTAACCAACAACACGGCACCAACTAGCATTCTTTTAAAGACGACCCCAGTAAGAAGGACAGAAATGGTACCCTTCATTTCGCTGCCTTTCTTTATGTCCGAGTCATTTAACCTTTATGGAACCTTGGGCATTGGGTTCATACTACTGTGCTCCACTGCTGTTTCATACAGCGGACTGCCAGAGCGCAACCCCCATGGATCTAATTATAGCAATAACAATTCCGGTATCCTAGTACCAATCACTAAAGACAATATGGCGTCCTGAACCACGACAGGCCAGTTTCGTTGTAAAATTGCATTTTGTGGCCAAATCAATTCTGTTATAATTTGATGGCCTATTTTGGCCACATGTGGTTGTCGGAGACTGTTCTAGTCATTTAGTAGGTTGCATTTTTTTTTATTTCTTTGTCGTTATTGTTTTCTTTATGCCTCTAGGCCTATGCGTCCGTTTTCCTTTCTCTCTGCTTTCTCTCGTTCCCTCAGTCTTTATTTCTTTTTCTTCCTTTTTTTTCTAATGGTTTTTCTTTATTTTTAAAAAAATTTTTTTTTTTAGTGTTGAAAGATAAATGGAAAAACTATCAAAACTTTACAAAAGTAACCCCCATCATATCCACATTCACAAAATAAAAACATATTTTGCCCCCCCCCCCCCCCCCCCCACATGGACCAGTCATCTGAGAACTGGTCAAAATCATACATACTCACCTGCAGTAAACAGATGGCAACAACTTGAGGCTGTAAATGTAATAAACGATTATTCAAGAACTGATCGGCACTTAGAAAGAAATAGAGGCCTGAGAGGACCCACTGATATATATCGAGTAGCAAGGCGTATAGTACACTTGCTTTGTTTGTTTCTTTGTTTGTTTTGTTTGTTTATTTGTTTGTTTGTTTGTTTGTTTCTTTCTTTCTTTCTCTATTGTGTCCTTTCATTATTTTCAGTCCGTACTAATATTTAGTTATCTTTACTTTTTCTTTCTTTATTATTTGAATGTTTTAATACATCATAGTTTACGATTGTTGTTGCAACTGGGTATAATATTTTCTTTAGTCTGTTCCTGTAGCTTAGAGGTTAGTGAACGAGAGGTTTTATTATATTTCATGTACCCATTAGAGCAAAATCACCACCTGCGAGATGAGATGCCCGAAAAAAGCTGCCAACCTAACCATCCGAGATCGAATGAATAATGATACTGTCAGACAAAACGACACCTTGTACTAGATTCATCGAGAAACAGCAAATCAAGTGATTTGGCCATCTCGTTAGAATGAAGTAACATCAAGTACACGGCATATCAAATAATTATTTACAAGAGCAAGAGGACGGCCAGAAAAAATGGAACGATAAGATTAAAACACTTTGCACCATCACGGTGTTCAGCGGAACATAAATTATTCCTCCCCACGTCGCTTAACAGTAGAAGTGGTTTATGATGATGATACTGGCGTACTAGATGTTCTGTTCTTGTATTCTAAAGAGGAGAACATCGCGGGAAGATTCTTGACAGTTTTCTGTTGTGTCATAGGAATGGGGAGCGGAAAGAGGGGGGGGGGGGGTGGAGTCAGCACAAGAACTAACCCATGCTATTAGAGATTGCAGGTTGTGGGGACGCATGAACGTCCACGCCAGTCGGCAAGAGGCTTGATGATGATGATTGTATATTTGTGTGTGTATGTGTGTGTGTGGTCGCAGCATTCATTTTCTCATTCGTACTTCTGCGTTTTAGTGGGAATCTGATTGATAGTAACTGTCGTCTGAACTGACTTTTTCCACTTAATCAGCGTTTAAGTACACGTGCTTTGGATAAAAAAGAAACTATGGGCACCAATTCACCAAGGGGACTTAACATTCAACACAGTTTTGTATAGTATCTTCGAGTTACTCATAGAAAGAAGTCGAAATGTAGACGGACACAGCAGACAACATAAAAAATCGGAGGCTGTGGTTACTATACCGGGAATCAAACCTGTGACCTCCAAATGATGACAGCACCTAGCTGCAGAAAGAGGTACACAAGACTCTTAACTAACTAGTAAAACCGCCCCTAGTGAATGACGGAGTTGGTTTAAGTCCTCCTAAATGGGATATGAAAGTAATTTTTTTCGCATTAAAACATTTCTATCCCAGTTTTAAAAAACAAAAAAAAAGCCAACATCTATACTGGATTTTCGTACCAGCCATTTTTATCCCGTTACCATTTTTTTTTTTCTAAACAACGAAGGGCATTACATTGTTAGCAGACGCAAAATGGAAATGGTATCTGGCATAGCTAATTCGTTTTTGTGTTTGTGGAGTTCGGGTAATCCCGTTCCTAGAAGGGGTTAGATCCGCGCTTCTGTCTCGAGGCGAGGAGGTTGTCGGGTCACTTTCGGCGTCCCACGACGGAGTTAAAGAGTAGACA